AATTTTTTCGAGTCAAAATTACTGTTGAAATGTTGACTGACGGTTTTATGGACGGAATTAAAGGCTTGGGACCGACGTTGCAACTACATATAAAGGTTTGGGACTTCGGCCGCAAAAATAAAAGGTTTGGGTGTAATCTGCAACAAAGTGAAAGGTTTTGGACCATGGCCGCAATTCTCCCTTTAATTAATAAATATATTTTATCTTTAATCACAATTTTTATCCAAATATTATGCTAACTTGCATTGAAAAGAGGGGCATACAACTTTCATATTAAAAATGTATTTTGGTTATTTAAAAATACAAGAGACAAATACGTATTTTTCTCCATCATAACAAACATTTTGGACAAAAAGTCGTCTCTATAAATAAGATGCGAAAATTAATAGAGGGTTGATGATAAAATAAAAATTAAAAAAGGTTGAGAACTTAAGTGTAAAAATAAGAAAAAGTTTAGGAATATTCATTGCAATTAAAGTATAGTGTAGATAACAAAAATTGTAGTGTAAATATATTTACCCTCCAAATAATTAAGCAATAATGCAAATAATAATGCTGTTTATTCAAAGCTCGAGTTGATCCCATTTGATGTGGTATGATAAATAGAATTACTCGTGCAAATATCAAGTCCAAATGAAAAGAAATCCAGTCCAATAACTAGTTGATCAATCACTTGTTTCTGTGTGTTTGGGTGTGTGGTGGGAGTCGTAAGTAGAAATAATTAGCCAATTAGGTGGCTGTGTTTCAAATTCCACACTCGAAAAGTTGGTAGGAAAGTTAAGAGCTTGTTTGGAAGGGATTTTAATCCAATTAAAATTGAAAATATAGTTGTTATTGGGTCTCACTCGTCTAATAAAAATCAACAATAACAACTAGTTTTTCAATTTTAATCTGATTTTAATCTCTACCAAACAAACTCTTTATAGAATTATTGGCTTAACATTTTTCACTATTTTATTGAGTGTCCGACAGAAGCGAGGGGCAGTGGAAAGTGGGAAATTTTAAGGGCTGTTCTTTTCGTATTTCAGTTTTTAGCTTTGAATTCATTTTCAATTTTGTGTTTTGATTATCTATTTTAAAATTGTTGAAAATACATTTTTCTGTCATTCTGGAAAACACTTTCTCAAAACAGTAAACCCCACATTTGAACCCTAGTCTTCCCCTTTCAAATCTAAATCTAGGCGTAGCACGATGATAACCAGAACCACCAAAATTTGAAGTTGGTGATGATTTCTTCAAAAAAAAAAAAAAAATCGGAGTAAAAGAAAATTCCACCCATCACCATAATTGCAATAATTGCCTCTGAATTGGAAAACCAAATCCGCCACCAATCAACAAATTAGCAGACCAACACATTCCCACAAAATCACAAACTTCTGTTGCCACAATCACCCACCACCATCTAGAACTCCAATCGACAGCCACAACAAGCACCTGTCGCTCTCTCAGTCTTGCCAATTTTCTCTCGCTCACGCGTCGCCACCAACAGCCAACAAGAAACCTCACTGGCAGTTGGCTCGCGATCCAGTCTTCAAGTTACCTCATTGGCAGACCATTCCCTTCCGTGACGATCGATTGGCCTCAATTTTATTTAACCCTAGTTTGTATTTTGGGGGCTCAATTTAATCGGCCTCAGTTTTTGGGTGGAGGTGATAATTTCAATGAGTTTCATTTGCCCAGTTTTTGTTATTTTTAATGAGTTTTGGACTGGTTTGTATTTTTTTAAAAAAGTCGAGGAGCATATTACAATTTATTCTTTATTTTTCTTTTCTTTTCTTTTTTGTTTTATTTATATAGGGGGTATGATGGTCATTTTATGTTAAAAATTGGTCAAAATGGCATTTTGTGCAAAAAATGTGAAAGGTAGGGACGTTTTGCGCCAAAAAACGAAAGGTATGGACATTTTGCACAAAACTGTGCAAAGGTAGGGATGTTTTGCGCCAATTACCCTTCATTTTTTTTTTATAACTTCAGTATCCTAGAAATGAAGCATGTCTCAGCATATTTCAAGGCATTCAACCAAGTGTATGGGAGACTGATGCAACCCCTCTGATTGAGAATTCTAAAAATAAACAAAGTAACGAGCTTAATTTCCCCTTTTAATACAAATGCCCGATTAGTAATCGCACGACTAATGAGATTCTAATTTGTTGTGAAAGTATCAAATAAATTAGAATTCATCACAGGCTTAACAATTTAACACATGACAATCAAATTATTTATTTATTTACTTATTTACAAAACTTTCACAACAAATTAGTACACCACAATAAAATATTTTGTATTAATTTCACAAGTAGTCTTTTACGAATCTTTGATACACACACAGACACGTGTGTGTGTGTGTGTGTGTTCACTACAACAGAATAGCTTTTCGCAACATTCAAAAACGTTTTCAATGACCTTTTGCAATGTTCGGACGTATGTTGCAAAAATCGATGTTGCAGTAGAGCGTTACTGATAATCTTTTTGTCACATTTTTTGAATATTGTTAATAACTTTTTTGCAACGTTTTTTGAGTGTTACCAATAACCTTTCTGTAACATTTTTTAAGTATTGTCTATGCTTATAACTTGATTTTTTGCAATATTTTTTTAAAATTATTATTTTTTCTTATTTGTACAGCGATTTGCATAAATCGACCACAAAATAAGATATAAGATAACAACATCAAACAACTCCAATAATTATTATTAATTGAACTAAAAAATGTAACAATGTCCATACAAAATTCAGATCCAAAATTTTGAAGCACCTAAAAATTCAATATATTTTCAAAAAAAAATACCACAAGCCCTATGAAGTGAATAAAATAGCCCCATCGAGCTCCTCAATTTTCTTCTCAAATCTTTGACACGAGCCTAGCCTTAACAACCACCGGTTGATTTTGTGACAAAATTTCCTTGCCCAAAATCTTGAAGTACCCGCCCGAATTGCATAACATCAATTATATGGCCCACATTAGGTGTCCAGTATGCCCAAAATAGTGGATACCATAGCCCCAGTAATCCCAAACTTGAACCTATATGATTATAATATTCAGATGCAAAGTAGGTGGTTATAAGGTTTCAGACAAAATTTATGGATACAATTTGCTCATTTTTCTTTTCAGGTTGTGGACAAAAAAGTAGTTAGGGAAATGGAAGTTATCTACCTTCCCAAAAAGATCATGGATAGAGTTGTGTGATGCAATTTGCTCATCTACCTTCCCAAAATCATCTAAGACAAAATTAATTACCTTCCAAAGTAATTAAATAATTAAGTCTCGTCAATTAAAAATACAAGAATAAATGTACATTTAATAAATAATTAAAATTATTACTTAAAATCATATCGAAATTT